GGAGTGCTGTGAAATGCCTTTCTGGACACAACAGCTGTGGTTACCTGCATAAGACCTGCACAAGGTCAAGCCAGCCAAGAGCCCAGCGTGGATCGGAGGGCAGTTCGCAAGTCCCCATCCCTAGCTGAGAAGCTACCGACAGTGGGTGGTTGCTGGGGAAACAGAATCATTTTTCTTTGGGGTCTGGCCACTGGCACACATACTCCAGTGCTCCAGGGGTAGCACCCACCTTTAGTTCCAGTACTCAGGAGGCAGAGGCAGATGGACCTCTGTGAGTATAGGGCCAGTTTGGTCTATGTAGCAAGTTCCAGGCCACCCAGAGCTACCCTGTCTCAAACAAACGAACGAAAAGCCACCACCAACAAAAAACAAAAAGGAATAAAGAAATTGTGAGGGAGATATGTTGATAAGTTAGGGGAAGTCTTGGACAAGCTGGAAGGGGGTGTGGAGAGTGGATTGATTAAAATCCATTGCATACATGTATGAAATTCTCAAAGAATAAAAAAGATTCTGTCAGAGGCTGGAGAGTTGGCTCAGGGGTTAAGAACATTAACTGTTCTTGTAGAAGACCTGGGTTCAAATCCCAGCACCCACATGGCAGCTAACAACTGTCTGTAACTCCAGTCCCAGGGGATCTGACAGTCTCTTCTGTCCTCCACAGGCATTGCACAATACGGGTGCTCTTGCCTACATGCAGGCAATACACTCATACACATAAAATAAAAATAAAATATTTTTAAAAATTTTTATCTAAAAAGCCCTCACCAAGCATAGATTAAAACTTGAAATGAAAGTAAGGAAAATTTATAAAAGCATCAAGCCTTTGGCACTGACTCAGACTTCCCTGTTAGATCATTAAACTCTAGTGCAGGCTCAGTGTCAGAGGTAGAGCACTTGCCTGTCATGTCTGAAGCTGTGGGTTCAATCCTTAGCAATGCAAACAAAAATAAAAACTGAGTAAAACAGAGTCATACTATTCTCAAATACCTACCCTTCTGTACACTGAAAAAACCTCTTTAACACTTCAGTGTCCAGGAAAAAAAAATTGCTTACAATTTCCACTGGGCTAGGACACAGCTCAGTGTTGAGTGCTTGCCTAGCATACTAAAGCCCTGGGTTTGAGCCCAGCACAAAAACAAACCCACCTCCCAAGAGTCTATTAAACTTGAAAATTAGGGACTGGCAAGATAGCTTAGTCCATAAAGTGCTAGCCTTTTAAGCATGACCTGAGTCTGATCCCCCGCCCCCACCCCAGCCACATAAAATGCTAGACAGGCAGCAGGTGCTTGTAATCCCAGCACTTAAGAAATGGGGACAGGTGTGAATCCCCAGGGCTTCACTGGCCAACTAGCCTACCCTACTTTGGTGGGGTTCAAGGCCAAAGAAAACTTTATCTCAAAAAAGGTGGCCAGCTCCCCCACCTGTATTCTCAACATGCATGTACACCTGCAACACACACCTAAAAGTTGAAAGATTTCTGTAATTTATATTTTGTTCCTAAATCTATTTCTATAAAGTCACAAACTGCCCACAGATGGAATTCCTAACAAAGATTAAATTTTTTTTTTATTTTGGTCTTTTTTTTTTTTTTTTTTTTTTTTTCTCCCTGTAGCTCCAGCTGGCCTGAAACTCCCTATGTAGACCAAGCTGGCCTTGAACTCACAAAGATCCACCTGCCTCTGCCTCCCAAGTGCTGGGATTAAAGGCGTGCGCCACCATGCCTGGCTTATTTTGGTCTTTTTGAGACACGGTCTCCCTGTAGCCCCAGCTAGCCTGAAACTATGTAGACCAGGCTGGTCTTGAACTCACAGAGATTTGCTACCTCTGCCTCCCGAGTGTTGGGATTAAAGGCGTGTGGCACCACACCCGGCTTTAAAATTTATTTTTATGTGCATGAGTGTTTTGCCTGCATGTAAGTAGGTACACCACATGTATGCAATGCCCAAAGAGGTCAGAAGAGGGCACTGAATTCCCAAAACTGGAGTTATGGTCCAGTGCTCTGAACAACTGAGCCTTCTCTACAGCCCCCTAGAAAAGATTTTTAAATTCAAATTTGCTATTTTATGTAAGTTGTAAGTGCACTACATGCATGCAGTAACCACAGAGGGCAGAAGAAAGTGTCAGGTGCTCTGGAACCAGAGTTACAGAGGGTTATGAGTGATCATGTGGGTGCTGGAAGCCAAACTCCAGGTCCTCTGCAAGTGTAGTCAGTGCTGTTAACCACTGAGCCACCTCTCTAGTTCCTCTACCAAAGATTTTTAAACTTTCATTTATGGCATGTGTGTGCACACACGTGCGTGTGCGTGTGCAGTGTTGCCTAGCCACAAGTGGAGGTCAAGGACAACTTGCAGGGGTAGGTTCTCTATTTCCACCATGTGGGATTCCAGGGATCAAACTCAGGTGGTCAGACTTGGTGGCAAGAGCCTTTACCTGCTGAGCCATTAAGCTCCCCTCTCCCTTTTAAGCTCTAGTAGCTTTTCAGGAGTGGGAGGAACAGCTGTTCAATTCTGTGCCCAAAACAAACTGCTGACTAGCATCTATTCTTTATAGAGTCATTAATACAGACCCCTTCGTAGGGGGCGCTACTCAAAGTCAGGTGACCTTTGTGCAGTCTGGAAGACTCAGAGAGGGAAGGACGAAAAGAATGTGATAGCTGGAGTCTGATTTCCTCAGCCCAGCCTTTTCCCCATCTAGATTTGTCAGTGGCTTAGTGCAGACTGAAGGATGCAGTTCTTGTGAAGATGGATCAGTCAGACTTGGCAGCAAGTGCATTGACTTACTGAGTTGCCTCACATCCCCACCCTTTTTTGAAATGCAGTCTCATGTAGCACAGGTTGGTCTGGAACTCTCAATATAGTATGATGTTGAACTCCTGATCCTCCAGCCTCCACCTCTCTAGTACTGGTTTGCTATGAAGCCCAGCTTAGGTTAAGTTTTAAAACTAGCTATGCAGCTCTACTTCTAGAAACCCAGCACTTCCCTTTTTCTTTTTTTTTGGGGGGGGGGGTGTCATCCAATTTTTCCAAGGATTTTGCTAAAACCCTTCCATGGGCTCTTCCTTACAATTAGAATGTTGCTTCTGACTAGCTACACTGCTCAGGTAAATGCACTAACAAAATTAAACAACTTGAGCTAACAAACTTAGTGGAGCCATCTGACAAAGGTTTTAATTTTCAGGTATCTTGAAAAACATCATACCACACATTGCATCTGTACATAAATCTAATTCCTGTTTCTTAGCACAGAACCCCAAAATAAGGCTGAGATGGCTTAGAGGCTAAAGAGCACTTGGTCATGCAGGGGACCCAAGTTTGGTTTCCCAGCACCCACATCAAGCAGCTCACAACCATTTGTAACTCCAGCTCCAAGGGATCTGACACCCTCTTCTGGGCTCCGTGGGTATGCAAACACACATGTATATATATACTCATGCGCACACACCTCAAAATAAAAACATTAAAAATGGCCGGGCATGGGGCCACCCGCCTTTAACTTCAGTAGCCCTTGAGTGGCAGAGGCAGGCAAATCTCCTGAGTCTGGGGTTCAGCCTGGTCTAGATACTGAGCCAGGTCCCTGTTTCAAAATAACTTTCGAAAAACAATACAAACCCTGAAACAGGGCAGGAGAGTAAGGCAGGAGAGTAAGCAGGAAGGCACCAATGACTCACATATGAATTTCTTCTTATTGTGGAGATACACAGGAAAGCTTTGTGGAATCAATCATAAATCCAAAGCCTGTCACAGGTAAACTAGAGATGAAGTAAAGACTTGTACAAGTTTCACTAGTGAACTTGATAAGGAATCATGACCACCTAATGTGTATTTTTACTGCATTTATTTGGCTGTTCTCATCCTGAATGTCAATGGCAGAGGTCCAGTCTTACTATTTAGCATTATGCATACATTGCAGTTTATCCTGCAACAAGCTGTGGCTACACCTACTCAGACTACACCTCTTGGCTGATTCTGTCTTTGAGCAGGAAGTCTAGGGAAGATCACTGGATCTCCCACATGACTCACTGCTGGGTGTAGTCCAGAACATGGTGTTCAGTTTCAATGACTGGACATCTGTTTTGCTTTTCAGGGAGAAACTGGTTGCCCCAGTGAGTCAATGCTTTAATGCAAAAGTTCCCTAAAGCTTGAAGGTCCTCTTTGGGCTGTCTGGGAATCTTGCACAGGCAACTAAACTGATGGGACAGAAGGAACCCCTTGGATAGCTCTTTATTAATACTGCTGGTAACTCCATCCCAAACAAGGGTTGCAATCAGGATGAAAACAGGTGTGGTCTCAATATCCCATTCCCTGCTTTCTGTTGATAAAGGCAATGAAGATATCATTTCCACATGAAGAGAACATTGGGAAGAGTGGAGAGGCCTGTATCTGTGGGACACTGACATCACACTTTAATTCTGGACACTAGTGCTACTGAGAAAAGAAGTTCTAACTTTTGGGACATGATAGGTCACTGTAGATAGTATGGAAATAACTGTTCAAACTGTCTGTTGCTACCTTTTTTTTTTTCTTTTTGAGTCAGTCTCCCTGTATAGCCCTGGCTGGCCTGGAACCTGCAGAGATTGAAGTGCTGAGCTTAAAGGTGCATGGTCTCTGTCATGGTGTGCATGTGGAGGTCAGAGGACAATTTGCAGGAGTCACCTCTCTCTTTCCACTGTGTGGGTTGAGGGGATGGAACTCAGACAGGTCACCAGCCCTGACAGCAAACACCTTTACCACTGTGCTTGACCTTTCTGGCCCTGAATTGGCTTCAGTTTCAAGGCAAGTTATAGGGTCCTATGTTGTTGATTTCTTCTTGTTTCCCAAATGAAGAGACACATTGACAAGCTTAAAAATACACTAAAGAATCTCTTGTCAGTGCTATCAGAATGCTGTCTGAATTACAGGAAAAAATGCCAAACTCTAAAGTATTCTCCTCAGCAAATCCGATACACTCTTGTTTGGGAGCAAACTTTTTGCATGGCATGTGTTAAAAATGGCCCACTCCTCGTAGGTATTAAACATTTTATTTAAAGATTTTAATGTAAAAAAAATTATACAAATACAGATTACAATACAGTGACCAAGGCAGTATGCTACATGATGAAAATCAAAATATATTTATAAAGTAAATGTACCGGCACTGAACACACATAGTACCAAACATCCAATCCATGTGCATAAAACGATCTGACTACTTGCCTATGCAAATAATTTCTAGGACACCAAAATGCCAATCATTCTGATCGTCCATCCGTAACCTTATTCCCCTGACAAGTATTTTGAGAGAACTTTCATATCCTATAAAAAGAACTGGCATGGCACTTAAGGACTGAAAAAATAGAACACAATTAAAAACATCTGTAATGCAATTCTGTAATAAAATATACAGACTAAATCTTATTAGTTAAAAAAAGATTTAAAAACAAAAGATCACCATTAATAATGGTTAAAACCTCATCATAGAAAAATGTTCATCATTTGTACATTATTGGTAAAAAACTGACAGGTTTTGTTGGGGATGGGGGCGGAGATGTCTAACTCGAAGCTATTCGTGTAAGATTTGTTGACAAATGTAGATGATTATAGTTCACTGATTGCCCTTTCTTAAAACATTTTATTACAAAAAGCAACTATAGGATTCACTCTCCAGCAAGAAATATTACAAGACAAAAAAGAACGACTCGAAGAAGCGTTTCTCAAAGTGAAATCCAAAGGCCCAAAGAGTTCTGAGGTGAGCCCAGCAATGCGCACTTTAAACAAATGCTCTCCATGACTGTTCTGTCTTCTAAAGTGCCCCAAGAGAAACAGCACCACCTAAAATATCATAAACATATTTCTGACATAAGATGTCAGAATTCTCTTAAGTTTATGATGTGAATACTGTGCTTTGCTTTAAAATAAATTCCAGGTATCAGGAGAAACACACATAACTTTGAAAAAAAAATGTATGCAAACATTTGCTTTCTGACGTGTATTTTACTGCATTTATTTGGCTTTTCAAACATCTTTATTTTGTGTGCGTGTGTGGGCACTCATGCCACAGTGCACCAACTTGTGGGGAGTTGGCTCTCTCCTTTCCCATGTGGGCTCCGGATATCAAACTGAGGTCACCAAGCCTGGCAGCAAGAACCTTCACCTGCTGAGCCACTGCTGGCCCCTTATTTGGCTTTTATCACTGGGGGTTTTGACTGCCCTCAGTCTTAAGCTCTCCGAAGAAAGGGGAATATATGACACTAACTGTGAAGACTGACATTTCTAATGAGATGTAGCATCCCAGGAAAGGAAGTTTATCAAATAGCTACATGTTTTAAATCATTATAAACTTAAAATTAGATAGCTTCCCTAAAAATAAATTTTACTGATTGGACAAATGTTATCTATTTATTTAGATGGTTGTTTTAAAGTCCTTTATATAAAAATATTTAAAATAAACAATAGGGTGATGCTATATATAGCATCATTTTAAATAATAAATTCTAAACACTAATATTAATAGAACTATTAAGACCCGTAGAACTCTGATCCTGAAATGTCTTCTACGGGGTACGACGTACTACATAAAAACTCAGTAAAGGAGCCGGAACAGATGCACAGGAGTATACACATGTTACAGTCATTCATATTCACTGTATTACTTTCCTGGATCTCATTGCAGACTCCATAAACAGGGCTCCAAAGTACAAATAATATACTCTGGGGAAGGAAGCAATAAGAGTTCCCACATTCTACTTAGAAGATAAATGATTTTCCTACATACTAAATAATAAAGAAAAATACATTTGCTTGCACTCAATAAATGGAATGCTTTAATAAATTTGGTAAAAAAAAAAAAGTGAGCGCCTCCTCGTTGTTTAAATCAAATCACAAAATGCAACTGTAGGATTCACTCTCCAGTAGCAATTATATAGTACCATTGCACTTTCTGTATCCATTTTAGATTTCTATTTTTTTCCTTATATATACTGAGCAGTTTTCCATGCATCTGCATCCTTAGCCTTTGAGGTCCATTTATTAAGATTCCAGTTAAAATTTCCACAGAAAGGACAGGCTCAGAAGCTAACCACTTAGTCTTAAGAAAAATAAAAAATAAGTCATTTTTGCCAATTTTTCAAAAATGGCTAAGAATTTAAAATCCAATTCTTAATAAAAACAAATCTTCTTAATTACCAATTTGACAACTGTTGCCTTAAATATCAATAATTACCCAAAGCAATGAGAAAATTGTAAGATTTTTAACACAGGGAATTCCAAAACTAGTAAGTAATAAGAAGCTATATTCTGAATTACCCTCTTATACAATTTAGCCTTCAATTGGCTTAATAAGTAATGACAAAACTGTAGGAGGCTTATGATGTAATCCTACTGTGTGCCATAATGCAAGAGAGACTCTTTGAAAAGCAGTGGTATTTTCTTTAAACCAAAGACAACTTCATAGCTCATAACAGGTATCTAAAGACCAGCTTCACTCATCTTGACATGATTGTCTAGAAGCTAGCTTTAATTTCTTTTTCCTAGTTATATTCAGATGTAATGACTGATTCCTATACTCCATAATAGGATATTGAGATTTTCGTAGGTGACAAATACAAAATGGCTAACTACATCCAGGCTAATAGGTTGATCCATGCACTAAATGGAAATATGCAGACTGCATAGACAGAACACGAGGATCAGACACATTCTTCTGCAGACATCAAAAGAGGATTGATATACTCAAAACCTTCGAATTCAGACTGATCAATCTTCCTCACAATGTCGCTGTTGAAAGAAAAATCAATTTATTTTCATCATAATCAAGAGTTCTTCAAACTTTAAATAGTGAAATAAACCAAAGAGGCAAAAAATAGGGCTAAATGATATAAATTGTAAAAAGAAAACAAGTCCTTAGATTAATCACCACTATGTCCTAAAAGAATCAGGGAAAGTACCAGGATTTAAAAAAAAAAAAAAAAAATGACCATTAATGCTCCCACAGGCAACCTTAGAGCAAAAGATGGCTCAAAATTGGACTGGGAATTTTTCTAAGGCAGAAATTATCACAATTCCAGGATCTGAGGATCTGAGGTGCTCTGGGACCTCGCCACACTCAGTGCTGTGAAGAATTTTGTGCTCAGCCCTTCTCAGAACTCAATGTTGTATGTCACTGTGGTTTCAATTTATGATAACCAGTTAACATGATATTAAGCAACCTTTCTTGTGTACTTTGAACACTATTTTTTATCTTCTTTTGGTGTCTGTTGAAATACTGTTCTCTCACTGATGCATTATTGATGGTATTTATATATTTTGAGATTAATCAAACATATACACATGAGCACCACTGAATGGACTCAGTGCATGTACGTATGTATATTTATAAATGTATGTATATATGTATCAACAATAATAAAGAGGAGGATAAGAAATTGAGAGGTAGTGGCGTGTGACAAGAGAGGAACTGGAAGGGGACTGGGAGGGAAGGAAATAATGTAAAGAAAATACTCAGCTGAGAGTACTGGACCTCCATTGGTGTAGCGGCTCAGATCTCAACAGACCACCAGAGTGCCAAGCTCTGGCCTCCCTCTGGCTTCCATCTAGCAGAGGGCCTGAGAACCCAGGGATCCTACCTCACGTGGTGAAGCCTTTGAGAGGAAACTGACACTGATTCTAACCACTCCAACAGCTATCAAAATACCTGAAAGCAAATTCTGAATCCATCACCTAGAATCCAGCCTTGGAAGACAAAAGAAAAATGAGGAAGAACC